TGAACATACTTTTTAATTAAAGAATATAGTATGTCATTATTTGGTGAAGATTAAAATTAGATTTTTAGTAACTTTTGAAATGTGTGATTGAAAAGTTGTGGGACCAATGATATTGTTAAAATTGATTATTTGACTTTGACTTAAATTAAAATTTGATTTAAATCAGTACAAAACATCACTTTTTTATTTTTATTTTTTTATGTAAAAGTGGTTAAGTTATACAGTACGATCGTTATATGATATATTTAAGGTAATATGATAGACTTTTCGCAAATTTGAATAATGTTATATGTACACTTTTGAATGACATTGTGGTCGATATCCTTCTTATGTGGAAGAATTTGTACAGTAATATGATAGATGTGTTCAAAATCAATTATTTCAATGAATCAATGTGGAAGAACATCAACAAAGATATAAAGAAGAGTGTAAATGCACCATGATCGTTTTAAATATTCAATACAGTAAAATGAAATTGTATAATACTATTACAAATTATTTAAAAATATAAACCTAATGTTTCCCAAACATCACTACTTTTTATTTAGGATTTAGCCACTTTTTCCTCTCTCATATTTAAGAAATATTATAATCTATCCTCAACCTTTTTTTTTTGGCACTAGACATTCTTAATATTTTGAAAATGTAGGCAAAGTTCATCCCTTCACCATTTTGACCACGTAAAAATTTGTCCTTCCTTTAATTAAATAAAAAAATAAAAAGAAAATTGTATCAAGAGTCTTAAATCTTTTCAAAATGAACAAATGAATCTTATTCACCAACTAGGGTTCTCCAAACCAATCCACTCCCCAACCAATACCCAATTGAGGTGGCAAATTCAACGGTATAACTGTCCCACTGCGTTATGATCAATAGAATAAAAGTTAATAAAATGTATAGTTGAACATTTATGAATAAAATAAAATATATAATTAAAATTTTATTATTAAGCCCTTGTTTGGTTTTTACTATTTTTAAAATATATATTTTCTCTTATTTTCAACTACCCATTTTTCAATAAAATAAATTTACAAGCAAATTCAAAATTTTTCCTTATTTTTTAAGGTCACATTTTCCATCAAAATATTATTTCAAAATACATTTTGTGACAAAAGATGGGGTTCAAAGTTCAAACAGACTGTAAATTTGATTTATATTTTAGCCCCTGTTGTCATCAATTTTCTCTCATTCTTTTCCATTATTTTTTCTACAGTACTCATTTTTAACTACATATTCTTCATTAAAATAATATTATACGTAAATAAAAAAATTCCTTTTTTTTAACCACACAGTTCAAATAATGGGTGACAAACACACCCTTAATCAATTTTTTTTTTTTATGATACCAAAAAGGGGCCTTAAGCCTTACATATTCATCATTTATATGCCTATCTATGAAAAAAATATAATGGAAAAAATATGAAACAAAAAAAGTGGGTCATCACAGAAAGGGTCAAATCTTTCAGACACGTTGACAGTTACACTTTAAGATGATCTCACGGATTTCACGACATCTTTGGCCCCACCACACTAAAGAAAGGCAAGAAACATCACACCAAAGTAATGGAGGATTCTAAAGCACATAGAGGTAGTAGTACACATTTGCTTTAGGCAATTTCCACCAAGATTGATTCAACATCTTAGTATAGAAAAATTTTATTCTTAATTTAGTCCGTGTTTGATTTAATGGGGATGGATTGTCGGTAGAAATGAGTTTATTATTATTATTATTACTTTTTTTTTTGTTTTTTTGATGATTGATATGAATTTGAGAACGATTGTAGGTGGGTGGTACAGTATTGGCGATGGTTGAAATAGTGGTGGTGGTTTGCAGTTGACAGGTGATAGTTTAGGTAGGGTTGTGGGTGAAATAAATTTATTTAGCTCCCGTTTGGCCTCCATTAATTTTCATTTCATTACATTTCATTTTTTCTCAAATTTTCAACCACACAATTTTTCATAAAATAATATTATATGTAAACAGAAAACTTTTCCTTCTTTTCCAATCACTCATTTTTCAAAAAAATTACTATTCCATCCATTTTCATTTCCACAAAATGGGGGCCAATCGGAGGCTTAGTTGCTTTAATTTCTTTTCTTTTTTTATATTTGTTTATAGCGGTCATAAAATTCATCATTTTACGTAATTGAAATGGTGAAAAAACAAGTTTTACCACATTTTCGAAAGGTTGATGACGTCTGATGCCCAAAAAAAAAAAAAAAAAAAGAAGTTGAGGATAGATTATTAACATTTTGCAAAGATTGGGGACGCTGAATGCCAAAAGTCCTTTTATTTATTGTAGATTCATTGTTGATAGTATTGGAAAAACTTATTTAATTTTTATAATAATATATATTCATATAGTTATGTTAAAATAAATAATAATATCTATTAAATTTCAAATTTTATAAAATTATAAAAAAAAAAGTCAAAATAATAGAAAAGTAATTAATTTAAAGTCCAAATAGTAGAAAAGGAATTAATTAAATTAATTAGAATTAATTTAATTCTTTTTTAAAAAAATTTAAAAAGTTAACATTTTGCAGTTTCTCAAAATCTCTCAGATGGCACATATTATTCTATTAGTGATGGCAAAAATATCTGTCTCGATACGTTGGTGGGGCGGGGGCGGGCCCCATGAAGAGAAAGGTGAAAAAAAATAAAATAAAAGATAAATGGGGCGGCAAAAGGGGCAAGCAGTCGCCCCACCCCGCTACCATCACTATATTCTATAATTAATTTTTTTTTTAAATTTATCAAACACCTAAAACAACTTTTAATTACTCGGACTTTGGAATCAATTCCAAACTTGCATTACCTTGCTTATTAGTTAATTCAACTCGTGCAGGAATGATGAATAAGTGCTCTCCATAAATACATGAATTAAATTTTTTTTATGAAATTCTCAATATCATGATCATATTGGTTAACTGGTCTGATTGTGAAGGAACAGAAAATTGAAGTTTTGATGGATTTCATAAATTTGCCTGATTCAGCCAACATCGAGCTACTAATCTTTCACTATGTAAGCATTTAGAAAGATCAATCTATTATCTATAGAGTAACTTTTTATTCATTATACGACGATCCTCCCATTCGACACTTCAAAGCACTAAATTTGACTTTTGTTCTAGCTTTGCTGGTTGGATCTAACCAAGAATGGAGTTGGGGAAAATAAAGATTTACTATCATCATCATCATCATCATTATTTATTTATTTATTTTTAACATCTAGCTAATATATATATATATATATATATATATTTTAAAGAAGATTATTTTCTAAATATAAAAATTTTACACTCTAAAAAAAAAAAATATAGCACCCAATCATGGTTCAGTTGTGATAGTTGAATCAATAAAATTTATAACTCACTTATTTTTAGCTTTAAATAATTAGCCTTGTTTGTTCGATAATAAAATTAAATTTTTAGTATATTTTGATAAAAATTAATGAGAAGTGTAGTTGAAAAGTTGTGAATTTTATGAAATATATGATGAGTTAATTATATGAATGGTCACTGAACTTTGCCCTATGTTACTACTTAGTCACTGAAATTAAAAATGTAACTCAATGGTCACTGAATTTCGTCAAGTGTTACTACTTCATAACCGAACTTTAAAATGTATTTCAATGGTCACCAAACTTTATACCGTGTTATCCATCCGTCACTCAAATGGAAAAATCCGTTAAGTCCAACAAATGACGTCAACTTGAGTGACGGATAGGTAACACGGTGTAAAGTTCGGTGACCATTGAGTTATGTTTTTAAGTTCAGTGAATAAATAGTTACATAGGGTAAAGTTTAGTGGCTATTAAGATATATTTTTAAATTGAATTATTAAGCCATTCTTTGAGTCTCATTCTTTCAATATATATATATATACACATTCTTAAACAGTGATTTGATATCATTCAATCACACATCCTTCAATAAAATAATATTACACACAAATTCAAAACTTTTCCTTATTTTTTAGCTATACATTTCCCATCAATATACTATTCAAAAATTCATTTTATCCCTCAAAATGAGGATCAAACAAGGGCTAAACTTCTCAAATCGACCTCTATGAAAGAAGAAATCAAAGAAAATGAAGGGAAAAAAGAGGAAACAGAAAATTAGAGACATATAAATTAAATAAAATAGAATTGTTGCTAATATTCATCCATTATGGTGAAAAAGTACATTTGATATTCATCCATCACCATATCTCAAACTCCGCATAAATGGATTGAAAAAGAAACAGTTGGAATACTAAAAGAAATTGACAAAGAAAAATTAAATAAAAGTACAAAAATGTTCGAATAGTGCCAATGTAACTAAGGTCGATTTGATTTTTTCAACTATGTTACTATTTAGTCACTGAACTTAAAAATGCAACTCAATGGTCACTGAATTTCGTTAAGTGTTACTACTTCATAATCGAACATTAAAATGTATCTCAATGGTCACCGAACTTTGCACTGTGTTACTCATCCATCATTCAAGTTGATGCCGTTTGTTGGATTTAACGGATTTTTCCATTTAAGTGACGGATGGGTAACATGGTGCAAAGTTCAGTGACCATTGAGATACATTTTAAAGTTCGATTATGAAGTAGTAACATTTAACGAAATTCAGTGACCATTGAATGACATTTTTAAGTTCTGTGACTAAGAAGTAACATAGGGCAAAGTTTAGTGACCATTCATATAATTAACCCAATATATGATTAAAATTAATTGTTAACTTTGACTTAAATTAAAATTTAGATTTTAATTTTCACCAAATATGAGCTAAATAATTTATTCATCTAATTATTTTTGACTGTATCAAGAGTAAAACTGATTTTAAAAGTTGACTACTTCTCCAAAATAAGCAGAACCTATCATTCTATGCTGTTACTTTTTTACTTATAAGAACTCTTACTTAAAAGTAACTATTTTTCTAATTTTAGCCAAACAAACATCAAATCCTAGTTTGTTTGTTGCTTAACGGAGGGTTTATCGAGAGGTTTTGTCCCTGCCTACTTGCCCCTTTCTAGGATACCTTTCAACTCTCTCTCTCTCTCTCTCTCTCTGTCTCTCCCCACACACGCACTATAAATGCTGTCACTGAGGACCCTTCCTGTCCGCAGCTCCAAATGACTCTCAAACCAGAATCCCAAAGCCATGCCCGTACCCGAACTCGAACCCGGATCCGTACTTGTCGCCTCTCCCCGTGTTACCGCCACCCTGATGAACCGGTCACTGGCATCTGCGCTTCTTGCCTTCGTGAACGACTCTCCGGTCTGGATTCATCAGCCGCCGACATTGCCGTCTCCTTCTCGCCGGAGCTCCGCCGATGTAGGTCGGTCTCCACTTCAAAATGTGAAGCTTCCTGTTCCCGTAGCAGCTTCACCGAGCAGCGTCGCAAGTCATGCGACGTCAGGTCGGATCGGAACTCCCTGGCTCATCTGTTCGACGATGATGATGAAAAGAATGGATCTGGTGGATGCTCCAAAGTTGAATCGAGGAATTTGGGGCTTTCGAGACTCACTTATACGGTGATTGAGTCAAGTGAAGAAAATAGAATTAGTGAAGAAATTAGGGTTTCTCGTAATGCATTGATGGCTGTAGATGTGAATGCTATTGACGATGAGGAGGAGGTTGAGGAAGGAGAATTCAAGACAATGAAGGAATACATAGATCTTGAATTTCAGAATAAAAATAATAAATCTAAGGATTTGAAAGGGATTGCTGGAAATATATTGGGCGCTGCTTCTGTTTTCACCAAGAAATTGCGGAAATGGAGACAAAAGAGTCAGATGAAGAAGTCCAATAATAGTATCAACTGTGAAACTGCGGATAGCCATTGTTGTAATGATGTGGTTTCGAACAGGGAAAAGTCGAGGGAAACTCAAACCGATATTGGGAGGAGAAGATCTTGTGACACAGAGCCAAGGTATTCGGTTGATGCAGGTAGGATTTCATTTGATGAGCCTCGGGCTTCCTGGGACGGGTACATGATTGCAAGGACTATTCCAAGGCTTGCACCGATGTTTTCTGTTGTTGAGAATGGGATATTGGGTAATGCCAATAGATTTGAGAATCAAAGGTTGTCGGTTGATGGGCCAATGCATTCTATAATGGAAGACGAGACTAGCTCTGGTGGATCAGGTAACTCTAATTCAGATTCTTCTTCCATGATGCGTAGTAGTTTTGATAGGTCGAGCTCTGTCAGGAGTTTAGGGAAAAAAACAATGGCTTCAGAGGATCAAGGGGTATCTCCGGCAAACTTGAAGTTGGTAATCACGGAGAGGGAATTGAAAGATTGGCATATGAATTCCGTTAAAGATGATGACTTGGAGAAGGTTGCATCCATTTCTAAAAGAACTGCTGCTATTGAAAATGTTGGTAACATGAATGTACCTAAGAATGTTAGATGGCACAGAGTACGTAATGTCATTAATTTCAAACACAAGAAGTGCGAAGATAAGTGTGAAAGTTTCCCAAGAAATGTAATTGACAGCTCAATTGATGTCCCCAAGCAAGGGGAGGAGGCCAGAGGAGAAGTAAAACAAGTGTCAGGTCCGAAGCTTGCACGCAGTAGTAGTGTTGTCGGTTCAAGGAATTCATATGAAATCCCGGGATCAAGTTATGGTAGAAGGAATATTGATAACAGCGGTCTATGCTTTCAAGGGAAGGGAAGAATTTATGCTGGGGAGAAACACTAGTGCCAAATTTTCGTCAATGGATCTTGACAATGACATGGTGCCATTCTATGTGACACCATTGAGGAGTTTGAAGAGCAGAAAGGGTGGAAAATTCAAGCTGTAGAACTCAAATATAATCACTCGAAATGTTCTGCAGTTGAATTGAACTCAAGGTTTATGCTAGAGAGAAACACGAGAGCCAAATATTTGGCAATGGATCTTGACAATGGCATGGTGCCATTCTATATGACACCATTGAGGAGTTCGAAGAGCATAAAGGGTGGAAATCTCAAGCTGTGAACTCAAATATAATCACTGGGAATGTTCTGCAGTTGAAGTGAACTGAAGGTGAACAATTCTTCTCTGCAAAATTATTAGGCTATACTTGTAACGAATTTTCAAATCTAGTACCTTAATCACATGTAGTTTTTATATCTTTTAGCCTTATCTGTAACACAGTAATAATAGTTTCAAATATTCTTTCTTTGTTTGAAGGCCTCTTGTATTGAATCTTTTTTCGTCTGTACAACAATATTATTTCGTGTATAATGGTTCAGGCCTAAGCCAGATTGTGAACTTTTTGCTTCTTCCTTTGTTTTACATTTGAACTATCATCATACAATTGCATATAGGACGTCTCAGGTATTCCAAGAATGACTTTGACCTTGTGTGTGAGGAGCGGGAGGTGTTAAGTACGTAATGCATTCTCATTTTATAATTGCATGTCTATGAAATTCAGGAGGTTCGTTGTCTTGCATGTGAAAGATGATATATAGGGTGTTCATATTATTAGGGTGGCAAAAGGGTTGAGTAGTTCGTTGGCTCGGCCCATGGACGGCTTGAGCTTGTTTCGGGACGAGGGGTGGCAAAGGGGTCAAGTAGTTCGTCAGCTCGGCTCGTCAAAGCTTGGCCAATGGACAGCTCGGGCTCATTTCGGGACGATCCTGAGCCCAAGCCGAGTTGGGGGTTCGTTGGACGAGCTCGCAACCACCTACAAGCCTGAAGTTCTAGTGGGCTCGTAAAAATTGAGAACAAAAAAGGTCAAAAAAAAAAAAAAAAAATCTTGAGCTTGTGGTTATCCGACTTGGCCCATTGTCACCACTACATATTACCTATGCATGTTTCTTTGGGTAGAAAATAGGGAAAGGTCTTCCATGTATGCAGAATGGATATACTTGTGTTGTCGAGGAGTTAAGCATGGACTGAAAGTTGTTTTGTAGCATACTTGTGCCCAGTGGTGGATCCATTGGCCGCCCTAGCTGGATCTGCCGAAATGTTCAGACTGCTGGGAATGGAGTTTTACCCAATGAATTGTCTTGGTCCATAAATCATAATCAATATAATTTAATTTTCTCTTCAACTCCAAATTTCATTTTCCCCCAAATCTTGAAACTGTGAAAGCTAAAGGAGTGAAAGGCGATTGGGGCGATTGGCGAAGCTGAAGGAAGGGACTGGCGATTGGGCGAATGTGAGCGTGAGGAGATGAGGAGGAGGAGTCGTGATTGCAGCGAACTCAATGATGGAAATAAGAAAGGTAGTAATGGTTTATTATCGTCTTCTTCTAGAGAGCCAATTTGTGATGAAATGCTGGAAGATTGGCTTGATCCTCACATTTTGACTCAAATTCCGGATCTTGGAGGTGATTGGCTTGCTAATATTTGAATATATCTATTTTCTTAGCCAAATATATGTGATAGAAAGAACTTAACTAATTTCTAACATGTTGTGTAGTTAAATAAGTGTGTACCAGTGGATATTCTTTGAAGAAAAATGATGACTGTTTGTCTTTGCTTTTTCTTGAATTAATTTTTTTTCTTATCTCTACCAATTTTACCTCAATATTTCAAAATTATTTCTTGTTTTGACACGGTGAAAAGTTAAGTTCAATTCGTAAAAGGATTTTGACAGAGAATTCTATATACAAGAAATTTATCATTGGCCACAAGAAAAGTGCATTTTATGGGGAAAAAACATGAAAAAATTGTATTTTGATTCTTTACTGAAATAAGATGAAAGCTATAAATGATGTGAGTGTTGCAAAGGTTGTATCGTACAATTTTTTTTTTTTTTAGCATTTTGGGTTTTATTGAATTATATTTTCATATATATATAATTTTTACGTTTTAATGCATTTACATATATATATATATATATATATATATATATATATATATTGAATAATTTAATATTATTTAATCAAATTTTAATAAACGATCGGCTATTATGATCGTTGATTGTTGACGGTCAACGACCATCCTAGGTCGACTTCGGTGCTGGATTCGCAACTGCTTATACCACTGTAGTTTTCTATCATAACAAAGGAATTATTTTATTTTATTTTTATTAAGGGTTAGGTTCAACGCTGGGCAATTAGGTCTCAATCACTAGAAGTTCTGGCGTAATTTTTTTTTTCTTTCAATTTTAGGTTCAACGCTGGGCAATTGGGTCTCAATCACTAGAAGTACTGGTGTCCTGAGCATGCTAAACTGGAAAAAGCAATTAAGGAGTTGTGACATTTTCCAACACCATATACCATTTTATTGTTGTCTTATTTGGAAATTATTGTTTAAAAAAAAAAAAAAGGTTGAACCCCAACCTTGAAGGCGTCTACCGCCCCCCTCTTAGAGCTTTGTGAGGGAGGTAAATTACGGGATGTACCCCAGCAGGTCAGGGAAAAAGAGCTGCCTGTACACTGAGCCTATAAGGAAATTTGGAAATTGTTGTTTGAGAGGCTGCTTCATGGTTTATGATAAGTCTTGGATTGCTCTCTACGATAATTGCACATAGGGTAATTGCCAGCCCAGTGGTAACCAGTCTCTGGAAAGTGAAACTTACCATGGAACTGTTTGGCTAGAAGGGAGTGGAATATCAGGGAAAAATGGTGACTGATTCTGGACTGACGAGCAATTTTCGTAAATTGGTCACTGTTATACATGAATTTACGACATTTCTGTGCTCTAATATTATCTTAAACTACCGAATCAAAAATTAAGACTATTAGACCGAGGATAAATTAATTTATTTCTGTTTTATGTTCAAACTTGGGGTTAGATAACTTCCCACGGTTGAAGAGACGAGAACCATACTTATATTTCTCTCCAACAACCTTATTCATGGTTCTCTCACCACATCAACAAAAGTTACCGAGATTAGTTTCAAGGTTCAGCATCTTTCACTTTCATAGTTAACATAGTTCATTAACACTGAACATGAAATGATAACACATTAACATGCACGTTAACATGATTGTCACGCTGTAATAGACATAACTGAACAGGATTGAAGAAGAAAAAGAAAATAAATATTATCCAATATGTACAGTGCTATCCAGTGCTGCATAGTTGTCACTTCACATAGTCGTCAACGAAGAGTTCCCACAGCCCTTTTGTATGTATATCTCTTTGCCACCCCAATGAAAGCTCCCAAGTTGAGAAAACTCAGAACAGCCAGTAGCAAAAAGAAGTAATGGAGGTGCCCACGGTTCAAATTTTTTGCTATCCATCCAGGCTTCCCTTTCCTAGTACTGATATCTGTAACAATAGTCAGTAACAAAGAACTCACATAGCTTCCCACAGCAGCAGTTGTTAAAGACAGGGCTGCACATAAACTTCTCATAGAATCAGGTGCTTGTTCATAGAAGAATTCGAGTTGTCCTATGTTTGTGAACACTTCCGCACACCCTATGATGAAATATTGTGGGATTTGCCAGAGTATCGAGATGGGTACTTGCTTTGTGTTATACAGGTCGTGTCTTCGTACAATTCCTAGTCGAACAACCTCTAGAATTGCTCGACCCCCATACGCTGCAACTGTGTCAAACCATTCTTATGGCCTGTGAATTTTCTTACTATAGGAATCAGGATTTGGTCATAGACCGGAACCCAAAAAATGACACTGATAGTGTCGAAAATGCCTAGGGATGCTTCCGGGATGTTGAAAGTGCCAAGTTTTGTGTTCATGTATGTTCCTTGTAACAAGAATAAGTTGCCCATTTGTGCATACACCGTGCTGAACATAATGCCAGTAGCCCATATGGGAAGTAATCGGATAATTGATTTCAGTTCTTCAACTTCTGTAACAGTGCACAGTCTCCAGGGATCTATTGAGTCCTTTTTATAATCTGATTGTTGTATCACTGCTGCCTTATCAAAGAACCTGAGATTTGACAAAGTTATCAGACTAGAAACTGCTGTTTTTTGAAAAGTAATCACTTTAATTATTTGGTCGAATAACTGCAATAAAATTGGGTACTTGTGCTTGATGGTTTACCCGATAAGTCTTGTAAAGACTTGACTCAAGTTTCCCCAGCTTGCTTATCCAATGAAAGGAAGTTGATTATATAATAGAAGTCGAGCGTAGTTCGTATTTAAGAATTTCTGTTCTTTTAAGAACACTGTGTTGGTTTGCACGAAGATGCTAGTTCCGGAGAGTACAGCAGTACTAAAGGTCCTTGGACTTTTAGGTAGTTCGTTAAATAAATAATGGATTCATGATCCGTATTAAGGCTAAAGTAAACACTTTTAAGATATGTTTAGAATGTTGGACTAGATAAGACTAGACAAGATTAAAGAAGAGATATATGTGACAAAATCTATTAGTTGCTTGTCTTATCCTATTCAATCTAACGTACCAAACACACAGTCTATAGTAGAAGAGGGTACGTACTGAAGTTCATCTGTGTGATCGAGCTTGCGGCTGCCTACTATAACGGATTCTGCATTGGAAGTCTCGTATAGAAGAGACTTGTCCTCAGGTACCATAACTCGAGTTTTTCTCAGTGTGGCTACCACCACCTTGCAGAGACGCGTAAGAGGGCTGCCACCGGGTTTCTGGTACCGAAAAAGTCGAGTACCTGAAAAGAAAAAGGCCACAGCTATTGCCATAGCCACAGCAGGAATACTGAATCCCCATCCCCAACCAATGTTGACTTGTATCCAAACAATCACAGAGGAGGCAATAAGTGCACCAATATTGATTGAAAAATAGAACCAATTGAAGAAATAACTTTTGTGCTTCTTCTCAGCCTCATCAGTGTCATCAAATTGATCTGCACCGTATGATGAGACACATGGCTTAATCCCACCGGTTCCGAGTGCTATCAGATAGAGTGCAAGAAAACAGACTGATGTTTGAGCATGTGTTGCAGTACATACATCTTTCTTTAAACAAGTTGGCCTCAGGCCGGATACTGTTGCTGATAGTGTCAATAGTGTCATTCCCTGTTGATAGAATTTAGCAATGGGTAAATAGTTGACAAGACCTAGGGATGAGAAGTGCTATCTTTCTAAAGATTTAAGCTTTTAGACGAGGCGATCAAATATAACAACAACAAATTAAGCCCGATTTTCAGTAACTTCACGGTTCATTTTCTTTCCAATTTGTTCAGTTCGTCACTACCTCTACTAAAAGAAACAGATAGTTGAACTTACGATAACATAGATGGTCGAAAAGCTGGCAATAGTCCAATATCTTCCTAAATATGCATCAGCAAGAAAAGCTCCAAGTAATGGCATAACATAGCAAGTACCCGACCAATTCGACAGATTTTTCGAAGCAGTTACACTGTGTTGATTGAG